GATACGTTTAATGAAATCATTGCAAAATGTCTACATGGTGGGTTCATTGGGTTCAACTCATGTGACTTGGAGAGAAGCTCTCTGTGTCTCCGGGTGATGCAAACGAACGGGACGTTCACAGCGTGCACGAAGCAGCAGCAGTGCCTCTTCTGCTCATGGTTATTTCTCTCTCTGATCCTAGTGTGATGCTACATGTGTGTTGGTGTTCCACATGGAGCTGCTGTGATGCTACATGTGTGTTGGTGTTCCACATGGAGCTGCTGTGATGCTACATGTGTGTTGGTGTTCCACATGGAGCTAGCGTGATGCTACATGTGTGTTGGTGTTCCACATGGAGCTAGTGTGATGCTACATGTGTGTTGGTGTTCCACATGGAGCTGCTGTGATGCTACATGTGTGTTGGTGTTCCACATGGAGCTGCTGTGATGCTAGGAGCATCTCAGACTGGACCTGACCAGTAAAGTGTTATCGTAGCTACACGGAGATAAACCCTGATCAACACAAATTATGAATAAAGAAGAGGTTTGAAATGTGCTTTCCGTCCGGTGTGAACGCACCATTAGTCCTCAACATATTAACTCTTTCTATCCCCCTTTCCCTCCTCCCTTCCCTCCTTCCCTCCTTCCCTCCTTCTCTTATCGGTCGAGGCCTATGAGCAGCTTGGTCTTCTCCTCCTCCTTCTTGCTCTCGTTCTTCAGGTCTGAGAACACCTGGGTGAAGAAGTGCGGGTCGGTGTTGATCTGAAGCATCTTCCCGCTCATTCTGTCGATGATGTCCAGGCATCGGTCCCAGAAGAGCTCCTTCCTCTCCGCCTCCACCAGGAAGGGCTTCAGCGGGTACGAGATCTCGTTGCCCATGTAGGAGTAGGACAGGTAGAGGCAGGTGAGCAGCGACGCCTGAAGCTCTCGCTCTGAGACCACCTCGGGGGAGACCACGTCGCGGCACAGCATGTAGAGGAAGACCACGTTAGCCGGGGTGATGAAGCCCTGGTCCTGCCAGCCCTGGAGGAGCAGAGACCTGTCGACGCTCCGCAGCCACAGCACCGGGTCCGTCGGAGACAGACGCTTCAGACGGTAGCAGCGGCGGCACAGGAACTCTCCGAGGCTGCGCATCAACTCGCTGGTGGACGCCTGGGAGAGAGAGAGAGAGAGAGAGGGAGAGAGAGAGAGAGAGGTGGGAGGAGTCTGGCATGCTAAAGACATTCGAGGAATCTCCGGAGCTTTCCAAATTCAAATCTCTTCAAAGTTAATGTTCAATGCCTTGTCTTTTTATTCTGATGCAACGCAAACCTTTCCCAGATTGGATCAAAGTGCTTCTTCTCTTCTCTTCAAACAGATTCCCACTTCGCCTGTTTTTAAATCTCCTTCAAAGACCCACTGGTTCTCCCGTGCTTTTGCAATCGGGGTTTTCTATTTCCTTGTGTTGTAAAATGTTCTGTACATCCTGAGAGTTTTTCAGTCTGTGTTTATAAGTATGGTTTTATTGTCTCGTGTTTTTACGTCCGATTGTTTTTCTCTAAATGTATTTATGCTGTTCTTTATATACGTATTGATGTAAAGCACTTTGAACAACGCTGTTGTTTTGAAATGTGCCGAATGAATAAAGTTGGATTGGAAATAGAGACAAAGAAAAAGCTGCTTTTGATGAAATATTGACCTGGACAATAACTTTGGGCTGCGCCAATCAGGAAGCTCTGTGAATAACGTGTGTTTATTTATTATGCAGCTCGAGCAGCTGCACGTCTTCTCACTGCCCACAGACAGCGTGACCACATCACCCCGACTCCGGCCTCACTGCACTGGCTTCCTGTTCGGTTCAGAACTGATTTTAAAATCCTTTTATTTGTTTTCAAAGCCCTGAATGGGCTGGCTCCGGCCTATGTAGCTGAACTCCTCCAGCGCTACACCCCAGAGCCTTAAGGTCTGCTGACCAGCTGCTGCTGATAGTGCCCAAGACCAGGCTCAAAACCCGAGGGCACCGAGCCTTTGCAGCAGCTGGCCCCAGGCTCTGGAACACTCTGCCCCTCCATGTGAGGTCGGCCCAGACCCTGGGGGTTTTTAAATCTACTCTTAAAACACACTTCTTCTCTCTGGCCTTCTAGTCAGAGTGTTGTTATTTATTGTCTTCTGTTTGCTATCGCAGTAAAGTGTTTTTATTGCATTATTTATTGAGCACTTTGGCTCGACTAAAAATCGTTTAAAAAATGTGCTGTATAATTAAATGTTGATTTATGATCTGGCATGTTCAGGTCTACTGGCGAATAGACACCACTAAAGCTCTTTTTGATGAAATGCTTACCTGGACGATGACTCGTTTGGGCGTGCCGGTGGCATTGGAGGGCTGGACCCCGGCGTGGGAACTCTTCCTGGAGGCTAGGTTGACGTTGGCGAGGGTTTTAGAAACTGGCAGGTGGGCGACTTTGACTTTAACGGTGCCGATGGTGGAGCTCGCCGTTGCGTCCGGGCCGGAGGAAAACAAGGACAGATTCGCACACGACTGGGATTTCTTCAGCTTCAGGCTATTAGACGCCGAACTCACGGTGATCGTGGCGTCCGGAGAGTTTCCTTTCCCGCTGTCTCCGCCCTCCGCCTGCAGCTTTTTCGATTCCTTCCTTTTCGCCGACACCGCCACGATGCGTTTCCATGGCAGCACGCTGATGATGGACGGACGTTTGAAGGATTTCCCGGCGTTGTTGGAGGTGTTGTCCTTGGCGTCTTTGGCGTTTTTGCTGTTCTGCACCGCGGTGTAGTGTCCCACCGTCGCCGGGCCGTCATCAAACAGCGCCGCCTTCCG